AACACCCGTTCTAGGGGCTGTTTTCGTATCAACGATTAAGGGTTGAACTAGCACTTTGAGGAGGCTGTTTAACACTCATATTTGAGCAAGGAATCAGTTCCAAATCCACCTTGACCAAAGCTTTGACCATTGGACCAAGAAGGGAAAGTTTAAAGCTCAATTGAGGTGAGGATTGACATCTAATTGCTTACAACTTGTAGGTTAAGCATGAGATTACCTAAATGCTTAAATCATGATTTTTCATGGATTATGATGATTATATATTGATGAAATATTGATATAGTTGCCAAGGAATGAAATTTGAAATGATTTGAGAAGGTATGAATAATATGAGATTAAATGAGTATAAATGAACTATTTTGTGAAAATGGGCATTTTGCTCATGTATGAATTATGTGGATACATAAATGAATATTTGTGTATTGAGATTGAATACTTAAGTTGCTGCTACATAATTATAAATATGTAGGGAATTACAAATAATGAGGATAATGGTATGATAACAATAATCTTAATAGTATTGAAATACTAGTTAGTGATTATTGGAACTTGTTGATTAAATTGATCCTAGGGATTGGATTGTATGAAAGGTACTTGAATATAGTTCAAGTGTATATAATAACTTAGTTTGGAACTAAGGTTAAGTTATGGGAAGTCTTTAAGGATGACCCAAGGTAGTTTAATGATATGTCAATTCTAGGCATAGGGTTGCTTGAGAATTGGACCTTAATGCATGGTGATGTAATAGAGCCGAGCTCTAGAATGCATGTAAGGTGTAGACTTGGAGTCTATGTATTGTATAGCTAGAGCCGAGCTCTAGGACTTGCGTGGTGATGTAATAGAGCCGAGCTCTAGAACGCAAGGTAAGGAAATTGACCCGGGGTATATGAATTGTATGGTGATGTAGTAGAGCCGAGCTCTAGAATACAAGGTCATGTACTAGGGTTGGACTCTAGGAGTTGTCGTGGCTTATAGCCACGGGGTTGGGAATGGTGATTTCCAAATGAAAACGGGCCCACGGGCCGGCTACTTGACTTTTATATAAAGTAAGTATACTTTTTAAACGGGGTAACTTAGGGTTACAATCATAATGTACTATCACCCTACTTGAGGGTCTTGTGTTTGAAATACTTGTTGTATATCTATTAGATGCCTGCCACACCAGTACTTTATAGCCGTATAGAGTACTGACCCCTTCGGGGGCGTCCCACCACCATTTCAGGTTGAGGCTAGAGCTTGCATCCTGTGCTCGTCGATCGAGTGATTCCTCGGAGAGAAGACTTGGTTCGTGCTTCCTCCATTCTATTTGAAACATTAATAAATTTGCTCATGGATATTTTACTATAGAGCCTGCGTGCTCATGAATAGCCCGGTGTGGCCTTTTGTTTAAACAATGTTTTCCGCTGCGTTATGAATTACTTATTATGTTTGTTTATGGATGTTATATGTGTGAATGATATTCATGACGCCTTGTATAATATGAATGTGTTGGACTGCGGTTGACTATTCGTATTGTACGGCGGGTTGTTGACGTGTCCGGGTAGGTCCGGGGCGTGACAAGGGGTGTGAAGAAGAACTTCATCCACCTGTTTAGCTTGAAAATGGGGAAGATGGAATCATTGACATTGTATTAACAAGGTGGAGGGTTGAGTCGGTCAAGGTTCAAGGACTTGATGACAAGACCAGGTTGGCCAAACTCACAAACTCCTTCCGGTCAGGTGAGCTCTACAAGGATTTCATCAGAAGTCCTCCCACCTTATACGAGGAAGCGCTCAAGCGTGCTGACCACCAAGTAGAGGTGGAGGACGATGAACAGAAAAAGAGAGACGAGGAAGAAGGACAAAGGAGGGGGGGAGCTGATGACATGTCCAACATCAAGCACACATGTAAGAAGACCAAAGGTAAGGGCAAGGATGATGTCATGAGCAGGTCCCTCTTGCCCGTCAAGCAATTGACTCCACATTCTCAGCCAGTTGGGGCCATCCTCGACTACGCGAAGGAGAAAGGTTTGGTCTCATTCCCGGAGGAGTGTGATGTGGTGACACCCAAGCATAACCATGACCAATATTGTCAATTCCACCGAAGGACAAGCCATGATACAGATAAGTGCATTGTTCTCCAACGACAGATTGAAGAAATCATCCAGAAGGGGTACCTAGGCCAATTCATTGGCAAACAAGGAAACACCTCGCAAAAGAGGAGCCTAACGTGGCTGTGGTCTGACCAAGCGGCCATGTCAAAGGAGAAACAGCCAACCAAGAGGCGGGAGCTCGGTGCCTTTCCGACGTGGCCAGTCTTGGGGCAGCGCCCGGATACAGCACTGATGTTCATACATTTTCGGGGAGGTGACACTGTTGGAGAGAGGAAACAATGAGCCCGGGCACTGTACGTCGGGGAGATAACTAGGACTCCCGCCGACAAGAGGGTGAAGGGGGATCCCATCTTCTTCACCGATGCAGATTAACCATCAATGCCTTCACCACATAGGGACGCCTTAGTGATCAAGATCGAGATCAACGAAACCATCATCCACTACGTCCTGGTGGACAATGGGAAAGACTTGATTCCGATAAGGAACCCACTCTCAGGATTCACCAGGGACTCCATTGAGTCGGAGGGTAGCATAATCCTCCTCATGATGGTTGTCTCTGAGCCCTTGGTATCCAGGTTAAACGTCGATTTTATCATCGTACGCGTAACTTGTGCGCATAAGAATATCATGGGCAGACCGACCTTGGGGGACCTGAGGTATGTGATATCCTAGGAGCACTTGTGCATGAAGTTCCCCACTATGAATGGCGTCAGAGTTGTCAGGGGAGACCAACAGATGGCGAGGAGCTGCTACTTTGAAATCTTTCAAACAACTCGGTCAGAATGACTTGAGGGTCCACACCATCAACAATAAAGCAGTGAAGTGTGAGGAGGGTCAGCTCACACTAAACCCACCTCAAAAGCAGAGGAAATCCAGATTGAACATAGGAGGCCGCAGCGGGAGGTCAAGATCGGGATCGGACTCCTGACCGGTTTGAGGGAGAAAATCATCAGGGTCCTGGTCCTCTTTAAAATTGTCTTCGCATGGGGACTAAAGGACATTCCCGACCTCGACCGAAGCATTGCCATCAATCGACTGGCGATTGAACCGGCGGTGAAACACGTCTAGTAGAAGAGAAGACACCTCTCAATTGAGAGGAAGGAATTTGTGAAGAAGGAAGTTAACATGCTCCTGCGTATTAAACATATTCGAGAGGTCCTATACCCAGTGTGGCTAGCGAACGTGGCCCTGACCACGAAGCCGCCAACCTGGAGGATATGTGTTGATTACACTAACCTCAACAAGGCGTGTCTGATGGATCCGTTTCCCTTTCCTAACATCGATCAACTAGTTGATGGGACTGTCGAATGCGAGCTCCTTAGCTTTATGGACGCCTTTCGAAGGTACCACCTGATTTTCATGCATGAAGACGATGCGGAGAAGACCTCTTTCATCACCTCGGATGGAACTTTTTGCTATCTAGTAATGGACTTCGGTTTTAAAAATTTAGGGGCGTCGTACACAAGGATGGCGGCCAAGGTATTCCGAAAGGTGCTATGAAGGAACATGGAGGCATACGTTGACGACATGATCGTCAAGATCAAGAGCCCCAGGGCAGGCTACCATGCATAAGGTTTGGCAGAGATCTTCAGGTCATGAAGGGAGTCCGACTGCACCTGAACCTGAAGAAGTGTATCTTTGTCGTCCAGTGAGGCACGTTCATGGGGTACATGGTCTGATGGTCACATGTGGGGACTGAGCAAAACCCCCGAGATCGATGAATGAAGTCCATATTCTCACTGGTCGGTTGGCAGCCCTCGAACGCTTCATGTCCAAGTCCGCCGAGAAATGTATACATTTCTTCCAAGTCTTGAAGAAGCAAAACAGATTTGATTAGACTGACGAGTGGCAGAGCACCTTTGAAGATTTGAAGAAGTAAGGCCTCTCTGAGCGTTTACTCAGCAAGCCAGAGAGGGGAAAGACATTAATCTTATATCTCAGAGTTTGTCAGGGCGCGATCAGTTCTGTGCTTGTTTGCGAGGAGGAAGGCGTTCAACACCTCGTCCATTGTGTAAGTAAGACCTTCAAGAACGCTGAGCCCCGGTACACCCTGCCCGAGAAGACAGTTACGCAGCCTACACCATTGCCAATAAGTTGACACACTACTTCCAGGTGCATCTGATTAGAATTCTATATCGGACCAACCTTTGGGCGCAACTCCGAGGGCGCCTGACGCAACTCGGGTAGTGAAGTGGTTGATTCTCCTCAACAAGTATGAGGTCGACTTCCGGCCTGGAACGCCCATCAAAGGTCAAGTTCTGGCTAACTATACTTATATCTCTCTATTCAAAAGGTATTCTAATCTTGTCAAAAAGAAATATACTCCCTCCACCCCATATTAAAGCGGACTTTGAGCTTCCACACAAATAAGGAAATGAAAAGCTTTTTGATTGAAAAATAGCGAAAGGAAGAAAAAGAGTATGAATTATAACTTTTTACCATACGAGCAACACATGAGATATTTTGTATGGACAAAAGAGGAAATTATGAAAAATAAATGAGTGAAAATATTTCAACCATCCATCCTTCCCCTAACCATCCATCCTTCCCCTAAACACCCCTTAAAGCATAGTTAGGCATAAATAACACCTGTACATGTGACGCTATGCCTCATTGATGTCTTGTGATGATAATGTTAGATGTTAGATAGGAGTATAGCATTATGATGATAGGGGAAAAAACTCCCCAATAAATCAAACAAATAAAATGAATAACCCAATAATAATGATGAAGAAAGAAAGGCCACCAGCCACTTTCTCCCATCCATCCAGCCCTCAACTCAAACCCTATCTCACCAACTCGCTTCTAGAAGCAATTAATCTTACCGGCCCCTCATCGTACCCACCCTTCCTACCTTCCCACTTCTTTTCCTCTATATAGATAGACTTGCAACTTCCTAATCAAACCCCACACATACTTACTATCTCATCTGCTGGACCTCTACAGCTCAGATCAACTACTAGTTAATGAAATTACTCTCTGTGTATATATAGACACATATCTGTTCTACACCATTCACTCTGATCTACTTCCATTCTAACTGCTACCTGCCAGAAAGAAACCATAAAGAAATAAAAAGAAGCCAGAAGCTGATATAAAGGCAGGTAGGTAGCTGAGTTGGAGGACTCTCTGGGCAGGCAATGGGAAGGTCTCCTTGCTGCGAAAAAGCTCACACAAACAAGGGAGCTTGGACTAAAGAAGAGGACGAGAGGCTCATAGCTTACATTAAAGCCCACGGGGAGGGCTGCTGGCGGTCCCTCCCGAAGGCCGCCGGCCTCCTCCGCTGCGGCAAGAGCTGCCGCCTCCGCTGGATCAACTACCTCCGCCCTGACCTCAAGCGAGGCAACTTCACCCATGAGGAAGATGAGCTTATCATAAAGCTTCACAGCCTTTTAGGCAACAAGTACGTGCCTTGAATATTACTCTATTCGTCTTATTTTAATTGCTCATTTTTTATACACGTTCTCTTAAAATTATTTCATATCAAATTTGTGTGATGTCATTAAAGTTATCTAATCCTTCATTTCCACAATTTTTTTCAAATGGTTTCCTATCAAATTTGTGTAATCTTGTTAATTAAGTTTATCTCATACAGAGTATTTCATTAGGACATATTTTTTATAAAATTATTTCATGCAATATTAAGTTTGTGTAATTCTAAATCATTGTTACTCTACGTTTACTTTATTCATTTAATATTATTATTAATTACGTAAACTCAATTTTCTTAATAACCCCATTAAATCTCGAATATTTTATTCCCTTCATCATATTAACAATGATAAAACAGGGAGTCACACGCATATAGGGAGTAAATAAAAGAGTGTTTCCATGTGCTTGACATTGAATTGGTAGAGAAAGAATAAAGTAAAATGATTTAGTCACATAAATTTTACTCCATCCGTATCAAATTAATTGACCCGCTTTCCTTTTCGGGACGTATCAAAATAAAAGTCTCATTTCCCTTTTTGGAAATAAACCCACCCAAAAAGCAGTACAGTACTGCTACAGTACCAAAACCTCATACTTTACATATATTTGCCTTAAACTATGTGAAAAAGCATATGGGTCAATTAATTTGATACGGGGGAGTATTAAATTTGGTACGAGACAATTCTAGTGATATGGATCAAAAAGAAAAAATGGGATAATCTTAATGGTGAAGGAATAAAATTTGTAGCCGGCCTAATTTATTAACAACCTCCACTTATGCTCCGTTTGATAGCTGCTTATACGGAGGATTTTTTTGCTCATAACGTAACGTACGTACGTTTCAACTTATGAAGCAACCTGACGTTTTTGTACGTAATAAAAGAAATTTTAAATCGGCGGCAATTATTTTAGGCGCATAGTCTTATCAAACACGTCCCTAATTTCCATCATATGATTCGTATGTAGATCTTGTTATAAATGTCGATTGAAGAATTATTGGCAAAATTAAGTAAGGCTTTAAATGAAAATAGCTATTTAAATTGGTTCATATATACTACGAGTATGTTTGACACGACTAGCTAAAAAGATACTTTTGTGAGCTTTTTAGTAACTGTTAGTTTTTAGTGACTGAAAAGATCTTAAAAAGAAAAGGTGGTAGCTGTTTGATAAAAAGACGACTGTTTGATTTAGTTCTGTTTGGTATACAAGTTGTTAGAACAAATTAATACTAAAAGTCACGATCTTTTCTCAGATGCTACTTCCCGTAGCATCTCAAAAAAGATCTTTTATTTTTTGAGAAGCTCTTAAAATTTGTCATGCCAAACATACAACTAAAAGCTTTTAGAGACTTTTTAAACAATACAAAAGTTATAAGGTAGAGACTTATGTATGCCAAACATGTAGGTATAAATTATATATTTATATTAAACGCTTCGAGAGTTCGAGACTAGCTTAGTGGTAGGTATACATTATACATACTCCGTATGTGATAGGTCTAATTACGACTTTAATACGGTCACACTATTGTCAATTAAGCTAAATTTTTCTATGCCGTACCAATATTAAATTTTAAACATGTTTTCATAAATTACAAAAGTCTAACGAACTTATGTTCAAATTCTTATTTAGAAAAAATGACTATGAATATAGTTCGGTTGATTACATGAGTACTTTTTTACCAATAGAGTATTATATTATCAACTTCTTGTGTCACTAATTTTGGAATAAAAAAGTAAAATTTGGGTTAGTTCTTTGTGTAAAGAATGAAAATAACATTGACGGCACGAGTAGCTCAATTGGTGGAAAAGTTGTAATGATTAAGGATCAAAATATGCTTCATTCATGTGGAAGTTATAGCTTTTAAGTAGCAAAAATGCTATTGCTATCCTATTTTGTACTCATCCCTTATGTTTGTGGCTCACAAATGCATTTCATTAAAATAGAACAATTCATTTAATAAAAAAAAATCAAAATAAAACAATTCATTTAATGTGTTAGGCTTTTGTGAACCACACAAATAGAGTGGGATACAAAATGGGGTACCTATAGCAAAGTTGTTTAAGTAGTAACATGAGGCTCTTAGAATTGGGGATCCAACTTTTTAGAGGAATTAAGTAATATTCCCAAAAAGTGACTAATAAAATAAAGTTAGCTATGCCAAATATTTCAAGTATGATTGTGGCATTTTTGCGGATTGTTCATTTCAATTCAAAAATGTTGATATATTATACAAATTGATATTGTGATGCGTTAGAATGTCACAAGATTAGAATAATTATTTAATCTTTTTTATTTCATAAATTAGGTGGTCTCTTATAGCCGGAAGATTACCGGGAAGAACAGACAATGAGATAAAGAATTATTGGAACACACATATAAGAAGGAAGCTTTTGAGCAGAGGAATCGATCCGACCACTCACCGGCCTATCAACGGCGGCGAATTGCAACCAAAAGATGAGGTACTCGCCGCCGATAATTACACGACGGCCGGTAAAGATTTGGTGGCCAAAAAAGAAGAGGAAGAAGAGTATATGTTTTCGAATAAGGAGGTCGCAGCCGGAGAAGGGATGTGCCCGGACCTGAATCTTGAGCTCAGAATCAGCCCGCCGTATTATTACCAAGAAAGACCGCCGCCGCCGCCATTGCAGTTGGCGGCCGGATCAGCCGGCGGTGGGCGGGTCAGAGCGATGTGCTTTGCATGCAGTTTGGGAATACTGAACAGCACGGATTGCAGCTGCAAAGGTTACAATTTCACCGGCGCCGGCAGCTTGTAGTCTTATGGGTAGTGGTCGCCGGCGGCTCTCAGTGTAATTGCTGGGCTAATTTCTTTGGAGTTCTTTTTTCGTATTCCATTTAAAATTTGTAGAGGAGTAACATTTGAATATAATGGTTGAGATAAAATATACTAGTATAATGTCTTTATCCCTTTTCTTGCATTTTTTTTCATAATGTTTAAAAATTACCTCTGACTTTTATTCTGCATCGTGTGTTAATCGGGTAAGAGTTCATTTCGGAACACTAAAATTAAATCGATGGAATTTGCTGAATTTTATAAAGTTTTGAGTAAAATGATTGAATTAGTCGAACCCGTTGAGTTACGAAAAAATCATATTTAAAATAAATTTATTACAAAAAAAAAATATTAGATGAAAATTAACTAAAATGATTCTCTATAGTAATTTTAGTCAATTGAATGAGAAAAGTAACAACTTCGTTAATAATGATTATTATACAATTAAACACACGAAATCTAAAATTATGTGCTCAGGGGAAAATTTGATTGTTAAAATTGATATGGTGAAAAAGGTGATAGTTTAGTGAGGCTTAAGTCAATCCATACCAATCACGTATGAAAATACAAACAATTGGGTTAATATTAAATACAAACTTGCATATTATTATATGAACTTTTGAACTATTGATATTTAGAAGTTTAACTTTTAACATAACATGGAGTATGACATTTTTCACACATTTTTCATTTGGAGGGAAATTAGGGTAAGTTCAAAGTGAAACTTAAAGATACAAAAGGATTGAGTAAACAATACTTTTATCTTTTATTTGGATTTTGACAATTTTCCATTTTAGCTGTCGACAAAATTTTGTTACTTTTTCACTAAATTAAATAGTTAGTGGTCTTATTTTTCATTTAAGTTTCAATCCTATATTTTACTGATCTTATTTCTCATTTAATTTTAAATTGATAATATCCAACCAAGTTACGAGTATAATGCAGGACTACAATAGGAGTAGTATTGCTAATCATGAGAGTAAAAATGGTTAGGGGCGTAGGGTAAAACTAAATAGGCAGTGTTATTTAGAGCATCCACAATGTGGATAACTTTTGACCCCCTCTTCCCTCTTCCACATCATTTTTCACAAAAAATTTAATCCCCTCTAACATATCACACTTTCCACCCACTATGGTGACCTAGGTCACTAAAATTTTTTACATTATCTCTCCATTTTTGTGGTATATTCCACCATTATTAATTTATATAATTTGGAAAAGGATTATAAAATTCACATTTCACCCACTATAATTATTTATTGTTGTCATTGTATTTAGGTGGAGAACGAGTTGGATCCATTTTTAGAGGAAAAATAATCTGAACAGATAAAATAAGATGCAAGAGGGAAAGAAATGATAAATTTCGAAGTGATCAAACATATCCTTCATTGGTGTCTACTTATAAAGGGAAAAAACTCTATTTTTTTGGTATACTTTTTTTACAATAAATTAAATTTAATGAATAATAAATGAAATTAGGGAGTTGAAGATATTTGATGAGGTTGGTGGCTATTTTGATGGGGAGGAGAAGCCACATGACTTTTTGTGGTTGGTAAGTCAGAAAAGTTTGCTCACGACTCGTTTTTAACCTACACATTTGATCGTTCACATTGTGATCCCCCATAGTGGGGATCAAGTGAGGTTAAATTTTATTTTGATCGTCATTTGACCTTCCATAGTGAGTGCCCTTATAAATACGCACTACCTCCGTCCCATTTTATGTGTCTTAGTTTGACTTGACACGATTATTAATGAAGTGGTTAGAAAGGTAAAAGTTGTGGTTGAGGTTTGAATATAATAAAGTGAAATGGTGTAAGCCACACATTTCTTTCCAAAAAAGGAAAGAATATTTCTTTCCAAAAAAGAAAGAAGACACTTATTTTGAGACAACTCAAAAAGGAAAGTAGGACATGTAAAATGAGACGGAGAGAGTAGTATATAGTTTTACATGTAATTGAGATCTTCAGAAACAATGATTGTTTATCAAGATCTTCTCGCTTTGAGAGCGAATGCTAATATGAATAGTAAAAAAGATCACTATATAAATTATTGAAGGTATGACAATGAAAAAGTAAAAACGTAGTATAATGAAATGAAAATTATATACAAAAAATAGGTATACTAGTTTAACGCGGAATATTTTAAAAATTATACTCTGTATATAGTATGAGAAGATTAAATAATGAGAAAATCATTTAGTTATAGTTGAAAACGGGAAGTTATACAATTCACACAAGAAAAAACAAACTATTGGAACCTTTCCTTATTTATCGGAAGCATCTATTACTAGATGGTGACAACTCCGGTACCCTTTTAAAAAATGGGGGTACCGTACCTATCATTCATTTGATTGGACCACATCACTTTATCACTTTTAATTTAGATTTAAATAATTCAACTGCAACATTCTCATTGGTCCATGTGGACAAAGTTATAGTACCTTATGGGTACCATAGAATTTACCTTACTAGATTATCTAATGGGCTTTTCAAATCCCGTGGTAAACTTAAACTTTCAACTTACTTTAATGCGTAGTACGTAGTATGTTTTTTTCAAAGTTATGGTTCCTTTTCTTATAAAAAAAAAGTTCAATACTACCCTCCATATTGGACACTAAAGGAAAAAGTAAAGGTTTGTGACTTCTAATGATCATTCACTTTCAAGTCTCTCATTTGTGAAAGGTCTTGGATTCAATTGTCACTATAGGGAGATGAAGGAAGTCTTGCTCTTAATGATTCTTCCCACCTTCACGGAGTTGCTCAGCGACTGAGAAAAGGAGAAGATGATAATGAAGGTAGCGGGTTCGTGTGATAGGAGGATCAGCTTGAAAGATGATGCAAGTCATTTTGGATTCATCCTTTGGAGCCAGTACTGACGTGCTGACTGTGATCAGATCCGAATTTAACTGTCTAGTAACTTTGAAAGATAGTTAGTTCATACACTCCAGGATTATAGAAGTGTAAGCCCGACACTCGAATTATAAAAAAACTAAAGGAAAAAGTACATTAATAAATAGTGTAAAGAATAATATAGATAGCAGTCGCCCTTTTTTACACTCTTTACTAACTATATAATCGTATATTAGTAAAATATATAGCCACTTGCAATTTTCAAATGTTTGAATTACTTTGTATAAGCAGCATTGTGCAGAATTCCACAATTCAAACTTATCTCAAATCGCTACGCACTTTCACGATTGAGTTTGAGTAAAAGTTGGTTCATTATATTTGCATTTGTGTTTTAGAGAGTGTATTGATTTGTTTCTTATAATTTATTGTGCTTCTTTATAGAACAACATATATTGGTGTTTAGGTATAAATGGAGAAGTACTTTTAATTGATCTAAACTATTCATAAAAAAAGATTTTGAAATATTGAGGGCATACAACTTTTGAAAAACAAATTATAATCTACATCAGTGTTTAAAAAATAAGCCGTAAGAGAATCAATTCCAAACATTCCTTACAAGTCAATAGAGCTTTTGGTGTAGCTTTGGAGGCTGGAGCACATAAGTTGTACTACAGTACTAGTTACTCAAATTGAATAAAATATTACTACGTATTAAAGCAAAATTAAGGTTGTTTTGACTTAGACTTATTTCAATTTCAGATCGGGTCAAATAAAATTTACACCGACCAAGTAGATCAGATTTAAACAAGCGTGATTAAACATGACTTGACTTTGACAATTGTAAAACACACATAAACTAAATACTTCGTATATTTTAGATCATAGCAAACTATACTTAAATAGACTAGAACATACTCCCTCCGTCCCGCTGGAATGTTCCCGGTTTGACCTACACACATATTAAGGAAATAAACTTACCAGGGGGTAAATTTTACTGTTTAGACACTATTTGGACACTGTTTGACACTGTTTGACACTGTTTTGCACTGTTTGACACTGTTTTGATGTAGAGTAACTTTCCATTTAGGGAAATGAGAACTTTCCATTGGGACATCCAAATAAGGAAAGTGGGAACATTCCAACGGGACGGAGGTAGTATTAAACAAGATCAGAAAATTTCAATCCATAAAAACATTCTAAATCTACTTGCGGCCAAACTCTAGAGTTTACTTGCAAAAGGTGTATTTTCCGGCTTACATGCTTGTTTACACGCAGTGCCGGTCCTATCTTAATTAAGGCCTGAGTTGAACTTCACAGAAGTCCATGTAAACTATAATAGATTACTCCGTATAATATTTCGTAGTCTAATTTGTTTTTATGTTAAAGATTAAACATCACAAACAATAACTAATTATGTTAAATGCCTATACTATTGTACTATGTACTTATATAGCAATTGTTTTAAAATAAGTAATTTGTTTAATATTACTCCTACACACAGGGTAATGTTCATGTAAGGTAGATCTAAAAGTTATACTACGTAATTCTCAGGCCTCTTTCATTTGAGGTATTTTCGGGTCGAATTTTCAATGAAATTTTGTGAGCATGTTCTCGTTGAAGTGTAGGTTATGTGCACTAAATTTCATATTAAAATTCAATCGGAAAGTTAGTTAAATAATGTATTGAAAAAACTGCATTTTTAGGCCTAAAAACTGTGCAGTTTTCAAAATTTTATTTCACTAACTTCCCAATTGAATTTTAATCTAAACTTCAGTGGACATAATCTACATTCCATGGAGACGTGCTCACCAAATTTCATCAAAAAATTCGACCCGGAAATATCTCAAATGAAAGGGAAAAGGGGCAAATAAGCCCTCGAACTAACCAAAAAAGTGCAAATAAGCCCTTATATCGGAGGTTCTGTCCGGCCGTCGCCATTTGGGGAGGTTTCCGATGGAATTTTTTAATGAAATTTTTTGAGCATCTTATTGATTAAGTTTAGTTTAGCCATACCAAATTTCAGCTAAAAATATATCCAGGAAGAATGTCAAATGATTTTCTGAAATTTACTGTGTTGTTTAACTGCGTTGTTATCCTCTAAAATTCATTTGACTGTCTTCCAGATTGAATTTTTAGCTGAAATTTGGTATGACTAAACTAGACTTAATGAAGAAGATGATCACAAAATTTCATAAAAAAATTCCACCGAGAACCTCCCCAAATGAGGACGGTCGGACAGAATCTCCTATATAAGGGCTTATTTGCACTTTTTTCGTTAGTTTGAGGGCTTATTTGCCCCTTTTCCCCAAATGAAAGAGGCCTAAAATTTCAACTTTTAGGCCTACCTTACATGAACATTTTCCTACACTCATATAAACTAATATTAGTTAAACAAACGTGCTAAATAAAAAATTATTGTCAACAAATTCGAGAACAAAATGATTTTAAAATTTAAATATCAGGAAAAGGAAAATTTTAAGGCTAAAAAAAGAGTCCCACTCTGCAAATTCATTTCAAATCCATCGGAAGCGTTTGGAAATGGTCAGCTTTGTGGGTTGCAGCAGATAAAGGTAAAACAAGGGAACCAATTTATACTTTAAATTCACACATATACATAATAGAAAGTATTTTAAATTTTGTGGCCCTAAATTTCTACCATTTTCTGGGGCCCTGAGGCCTTTGCCTCATTGGCCTCCAAGTAAGCACGGTTCTGTTTACACGTCAAGTGTATTTTTTTTATTCTCAGACAAAATACACCTGACTTATAAGTGAGCGATAAACTGACGTGTACAAACAACATTTTTGAGTTGCTAATAACCCATATTCTCTCTTAAATAAAGAAAATGTTCATCACATGAATAATACGGAGTGTAACATATAACTCGCATAAAAAGAAACATGTTTCGCATTTTATTTGGTAAACAAAGGGGGCATATAATGAGAATGATCAAAGCTAGTGGTAACTAATTGAATTTTGAAAATGCAAGGTTCCATTAATAATTATGACCTAACCTCAAGGGGTTAATAGTAATTTTCCCTTCTGTTAATTGCTTTGGCCGAAGTTAATACATATGATCATTTTAACTATTTTTTGTATAATTTTTTTTATTTATTTTACTAAAAAAATATATTTTAAATACGGAATATAACTTATTGATAAATCAACAGAATAAGTCAATCCAGTTATTTAACCAGTACTTCATAAATTTCAAGAAAATCAATCGTATTACTTTCTCTTTCAATCTATTATTACTTCCTCTGTCCCGTAATTAAGTTCCTACTTTCCTTTTTGGGATGATCCATATTAAAGTTCCTACTTCAAACCTTTCCTCATTTGGCAAATGATTTACACCAAAACAGTGCCAAACAGTGTCAAACAGTGTTCAAACAGTGCACTCCACAGTAAAGTCAAATTTATTTCTTAAAATGTGTGAAGTCAAACTAGGAACTTAATTAAGAACCGGAGGGAGTATGTGTTTAGTATTAATTTGTGATCTTGATTACTTCTCTCCCCCAGAAAAATGTCAATCACACCATTTTTAAAGACATAGTGAGTATGCAACTTTTGATTTCACGAGTTAAGTTGAATAATACTCGATAGTTATACATATAATTGAAATTGTTTTTCTCAATAGTGAACTCATTGAATAAACTAATGGGAAAGGCGTCAAATAGACCTTCGAACTAATTTAAAAAATGCAAATCACCCATTTTCTAGGAGGCTCTGTCCGGCCGTTGTCATTTGGGGCTGTTACCCGTGGAATTTTTTATGATATCTTTTTAGCATCTTCTTCATTAAGTCTAGTTTATTCATATCAAATTTCAGATAAAAATTAAACCTGTAAGACAGTCAAATGATTTTCTGGAATGTACTGCGTTGTTCAAATGCTTGGTTATCTTCAAAAATTCATTTTGGCTGCCTTCTCGATTGAATTTTTAGCTGAAACTTGGTATGAGTAAACTGGACTTAATGAAGAATATGCTCAAAAGATTTCATAAAAAAAATTCCAACAGGGATCGCCCCAAATGGCGACGTCCGGATAGAGCCTCTTATAAAAGAGGTGATTTGTACTTTTAAGTGAGTTGGAAAGCCTATTTAATTCTTTTCCCTAAACTAATTTAACTACTTTTTACTTGATTACTAAATTAATTTTCTGAAATTCATCAATTTGAACATTGAGATACGTGTTACAAATGGAATCTGAACAAAGACATACTCCGAATTGGATAGGGGGCATTTGAGAAGTTGTGCGGAAACAGGTGGGATGAGAAGATAGGAAGCGGGTGGGATACGGGCGGGGGGGTACGTGCCAAGGGAGGGATGCAATGAATGAATGGGGGCATTAAAAAAGTGGTTTAAATGGTGTGAAGGAACTAACAACCCCAACCCTCCCTGCCGCAGGGCATGGCATGGGTACGGTCTCCCTACCTACCTAACAATTATATCTTCGGATTAGACGTGACCCAACCGACCCTTTCCCTAAACTAACATTTCCTTTTCCGCCATACCTCCATTATTAGCCTAGCCAATTCCATTCCATGCTTTTCTCCTTCTCAAATTTACCCAATTCTATAATTATCACTCTTAGAGTCCGTTTGCAACAGCTTTTGCTTTTAAAAAAAACTTTTTTTAATGAAATGAGGAGAAATGATTAAATAAAAGTTGATAGTGTTTGAAAAAAATGATTTTGAAAAGTAAAAGTGGGTAGTGTTTGGTAAAATAAGTGCTTTTTGTGTAATAGAAAAAGTAAAAGCACTTTTGACGCGGAAGCTGAGAAAAATAAAAGTTGTAGTGTTTGAAAAAATAAGTACTTTTTAAAGCCAAAAGTTGAGAAATGCTTTTTTTAAAAGCAGTTGCAAACCAACATTTATTTACTACTCCCAAATGCCTTCGTGCCTAATTGTTCATCCATAATACAAACGACACTCACATTAAGATACTCCCTCTCTGTCCCTAAAAGAACTTTCAACTTTCCTTTTTCGTCCGCTCAAAAAAGAACTTCATTTTTCCTTTTTAGCAAAAAAATTGTGGTTTACAGCAATTCTTACACATTTCTCTGTCCTCTGCACAGCTCTCCATCACACAATTCTCACTTTCTTAATCCGTGTGCCATTTGTATTACGGAAGAACATTTAGGATGGAGGGAGTAGTTAGTATTGTGTGGTGTAGAATTTGTAAAGAAAAGTGAGAAACATATAAGAAATGTCAAACCACAAGTTCTTTACAAAAAAAAAGTGGAATCTTTATTAGGACGAACGAAGAATAAAAGTTGGAAGTTTTTCAGGGACAGAGGGAGCGGGTTTAATGCACCAAACCCCCCTGTGATTTGGAAATCTGGCGCATTAACCCCCTGTGATTTAAAAAATGCGTCAAACCCCCCTGTGTTTTAATTAATCATGAACAGAACCCCCTTTAGGAATAAATTTAACGATTTGAAAATCACTTTTTCTAATATTTTGATTGAATATGCAAATAAATATGTCAAAATCTCTGAATCATACAAAAATGTTAATCATTTTTCTTTTATTTGACAATTGAATTTGTTCACATAAGGGATTTGGCGCATGATTAATTAAAACACAGGGGAGTTTGACGCATTTTTTAAATCACAGGGGGCTAATGCGCCGAATTTCCAAATCACAGGGGGGTTTGGTGATTGACGTATGGGTATAGTAAAGAGCTCGTTTGGACATATCAAAATCGACTTAATGAGCTGATTTTGCTGAAATTTATAAAATTCTAACTGAATTAGCTAATATTATTGATTTATGAAAAATATTATATGTAAAAATTGATAAAAATAGTCATCTACATTAATTTCAGACGATACTATAAAAAATTAACTCCAATCTTATTTTTTATTACACAATTCAGCGCACGAAATCAAAAGTTACGTGTATGATAAAGAAATTGATTGATAAACCTGATAAGCCGAAAACACGATTACTAAGTGTCTAAACTGGCTCTATGTCGAGAAAATGATGGTGTTTCTGAGTTTCATGAATGAAATAAAAATTGAATTCATCTAACGAGATAAAGAACCTGATTGATAATACTGAAATTGGTTGTATTGGCTGATTCTGACTTCAGCCAATACACAAGAAAAGTAATTTCAACCTTATTTTTTCTTATTATTACACAATTCAGTGTGCGAAATAAAAAATTACTTGTTCAACCTCATAAGCCCAAAAAAGAGGCTACCAAACTGCTCAAAGATTGTGCAATCCGCTGCCAAAGTCTTTACGAGAGCTTTGTTCGCACAAATTTGTGATATAGAAACTCCATGCTCTTTTTATTCATGAATTGTTGACACGTTTCTTTTTTGAGAGCTTTTTTAGTGTATCGTTCTCTTTTTAAAATGTCCTTTTTCTTTTATCTTTCCTATTTTGTTACTCATCCTCTTTCATACTACCATGCTCCCTCCGTTTCTAAATCAAATGAATACTGTAGAGTATACCGTTCTAACTCTTTTGCATTATTTTGTACTGTTTCGTATTGTTTTGATATAAATTTGTTTATCAAATAAGGAAGTGTCACTTTGTTATGAATCATCCAAAAAGGAAAAGTGTGACTTTTATTTAGAAACAGATGCTAAAATTAGAGAAAAAATCCTTATTATTCTGTTTTCTCATTTTTTTTGAAAGGTTTTATATCATTTTTTTGGGTAAAGCCATAGGCGCATCATCGCCTATCTTTCATTCACAATCAAGAGGTTGAGACACCCCCAACAAGTCATACAAAATGTGGAGCGATAAAGTAGGATCATCAATACATATAGAGCTCGTTTGGTAGCAGCACGAAAATCGGCTGTTTTTGCTGATTTTGCTGAAGTTTATGAAGTTCTGGCTGAAGTGGCTGCATTGGCTGATTCTGCTGATATAAGAAAAGATATTTTTAAGATATATTTTATTAATAAAATAAAGAAAAAGTTATATGTAAAAATAGCTAAAATTGTCATCTACAGTAACTTCAGCCAATACAGCTAGAAAAGTAACTCCAACCTTGCTTTTTCTGCTTATTACACAATCCAACGCGCGAAAGCAAAATTTACGTGTTTGGTGAAAAAGTTGGCTGATAAGCCTAATAAACCGAAAATCATGGTTGCCAAACGGCCTTGTAGAGTGAACACCAAAAGGTAAACTATGACCTAAGCCAACCAAGAAATCGGCAGCACGATTGCCCTCCCGAATTCCTGATATAGATAGTATATACTCAACTTTGATCATCCAGTCCCGATCCAACATCTCACCAAAATTGTTATCTCATTTTCTTTAATCTCCTATTAAAATAAACACTGAAGTAAGAGGTGGACAGCATAATAATAGAAAAATACGTGTCATCATTCGACAGACAATTCAATGCAAGTGTATTGTGGTCGTTGTTAATTGAAGTTGGTCTTACGTGTACTGAGCAAGTCAACTGTACAGTAATATACCACGGTAAGATGGGAAGAATAATTGCTTCACACTTTAATTCTACCATATTGCTTCTACAAATATTGGTAAGCTTTTAATGTACACATTTTTTCTGGTAAGCTTTTAATGTACTTATTTTTTGTTGGGAAAAGGAAGGGAAATAGTCAATTTGATCCTCGTACTTTCATGAAAAAGTCAATTAGGTGTTCGTACTTTTAAAAATATCAATTAAATCCCCAAATTTTGTAAAATGTTCAATTGAGTACAATTGCAAGTTACTTGCCATGTTAGCAGGTCACCCGTTGACGTGGTGCATACATGGCGGTCCACGTGTATGCCACGTTATCAACAAATGGCTGACTGAACTTCCACGTGTGTGCCACGTCAGCAAAATTATTGCTGACTGGGCTACCACATGTGTGCCATGTCAGCGGGTGACTTGCTGACATGACAAATAACCTGCAAATGGACTTAATTGAACGTTTTTACAAAGTTCGGGGATTTGATTGATCTTTTTTAAAATATGAGGTCGTTATTGGTTTTTTCATGAAAGTACGAGAATAATAATAACTCAAACTTTGACAGTTTTCCCGGAAAAATAATAAAAATAATATCCAAACTTTATATAAAATATTATTTTCACACCATTTTAATGTATTATTTCTTTCAAAAAATTACATTTATGGGGTTAATTGCATAACTTAAAATAGTAAATTAAAAGTGTTGCAATTATATAGATTTGGGTAACATTTTTTATTTTGTAATGGAAGTTTAGAATGTTAATTGTGTCTTCATGAATTCCAAAATATTTTAAATTATGCAATTAACAGCATAAATTTACATTTTTGAAAGAAAACACATGAATTAGTACGAAAATAACTTTTTATACGGAAAGTTTGGGATATTTGAATTACATATGCAAGTTTGGGGTGTTTGTCTCGCACCCCTTAAAAATTTGGGGTATTTTTATTATTTTCTCCTTTTTTGTACATTTGTCACATTGTCCGTGTTGGTATATACTCAATTTTCTATTTTTTCAAATAAATTATTTGTATACACAAAAAATAGAAGACATACACATAAAAAGTACATAAAAAAAAGTGTAGACTTAGAATTCTCTTATTAGAATACATAAGTGAGCCTAGGCATGGACCGGTCCCGGTCCGGGCTCCGAGCCGATCCTGGGCGGGCTTTTTGGGTTTGGGTTTGGGCCCGGAACCGGCCCGGGTTTCTACCGGGTCCGGGCCGGTTCCAAACAGTATCGGGCCGGGCCACAGGCCAGTCAGCCCGGAACCGGTTCACCACTAAGTGAGCCCATCTAACGAATTCTGAAGTATTAATTACTCCCTCCGTCCCATTTTACCTGTCCTACTTTCCTTTTTGGGTTGTCCCAAAATAAGTGTCTTCCTACCTTTTTTGGAAAGAAATATGTGGCTTACACCATTTCACTTTATTATACTCAAACCCGGACCGGACCGACCCGTTTCAAACGGGCCGGGTAAGGTCCGGTTCCTATTTTGAAAATTGCAATACCCGGAGTCCCGGACCGGACCGTACAATGAAACCGGCGGTTCCATTTTATTTTGCATTACCCGCCCCGACCCGCCCCGTGCCCAGCCCTAGCTTAAAGTCTTGCCAGTTTTCATATAAGGAAATGGAATTATCATTCACGTTGTCTTTCTTCCATTTACAGGAATTTCAAAACTAGAAAGTTTTGAATGTTTTGGATTTTTTCCCTCGTGCAGTTTGGCTAAACCGGCCAATTTGAGATATAGAGCATATAAAATACAATATTACTCCAGGGTCGGTATGAAGCTTCCTTCGCACTTCAGAAGTCCAGCCATGGTGAAAGGCAGAGAGCGATTGAAGCAAATCACAATCCTGTGAGGTGCGTAAGTAGCTTAGGTTTGGTTTGAAGGACCAGCCTTCTTGGCAGCTTCCGCAGCAGCTTTCTCAGCCTCAATCTCAGCCACAATGCCATCAATTTCTGCTTCCTCTAGTTGTCTCAGTCCATGCTCCTTTGTCATCACACCTACTTCTATGTTCCTTCCACCGCTTTCAACCACCTTTTTAGAATATTAATCAAAGATCAGGTCGTGATAAGATAAAGGAATGTGTATTTTAATTGTCACAACAGGCTTTTCACATTATTTAAGATAATGTTATAGGTTTATTGTACACTTCACAATGAGTAAAAGTTTTTTTATATTGTAGCAATATTGTATACTTGTATACTCCTTTAGTATTTAATTAAGGGTGATAGTAGGAGTAATGAGGGGTGTTTGGAACCGATTCTGCTTCTGCTTCTTATTTAAAGCAATATCAGAATCTGAATCAGTTTTCAGAAGCTGATCTCCCTCAACTTTTTTCGTAGGAATAAATTAGAGAATCAAAAGTACTTTTGCACTCCAACCTCTGTTTCTGCTCCCTGAAGAAGCAGAAGCGGTTCTAAGAATCAGATTCAAACACCCCTGAATAGGATAGAAAACGTAGGAGAGAGTGAAAAAATAGGAAACAGAAGATAAAAAAATAGAAAAAGTAAGGGTACTTGAGTATTTTTAAAGAAAAAACTTGCTAAAAGGGGAAAGGTAGCAAACTTTTAATACATTCCAAATATGAAAGTGTAACAAACTTTTAGTCGGAGGGCGTATATTTCATTAACATGTGTTGTAACTACTTTTAGGGTAGACTTCATTTCAAAACATGAAAAAGTGATAATTAATTTGATACAAACCGAAAAAGAAATAGGATTAAAGTTATATGAAAGGAGAACAAAGGAGTGTTTGAAATGATTTTTTTCTGCCTCTTTTTTAAAAGTAGAATCAAAATCAGAATTAGTTTTTCAGAAGAAAAAACAATTTAGTCACTAAAACTTTTACCACAACTTTCAAAGTGAGAAAGTGAATGTGTGGTGTTTGATCTACAATTTACTATTAAATCAAGCGGTTAAAATGAATATTAATACTAACGCGAAAACAAATAGAGCTGTTAAAGTGGTCCAAAATAGACGTTGGATTCAAGTGATCCAAAGTGAAACCCAAACGTTGTAAGAGCAACTCCAATGGGTGAAGTGCATTGCTGCAGACGTGGCAATGAAATGGAGTGGGTCTATCCCAATTGTGGACCAATTGTCTAATACGGAGTAAATGAAAGGGTCTATCCCAATTGCTCTCCATTGCTAAACAAGAAACACTCCGTAAATGAAAACTCAAAGAAGAAAGATAAGCCAACTCACACTATGGAGGTGAGACCGAGGGTCTACATATGGACCTCTTGCATGACCCGTGTCTATTTTATGATTGCCAAGTCAGCTTGACCAGGCTCATATTTTTTGCATTGGAGGGAGATATTAAAGAAGGTGAGGGAGATGGAAATTGCAGCATTGTGTCTGCAATTAAACCTCTATGGCAGGAGGAATTAATATTGAGCTATCAAGAGGATGAGGAAGCTGAAGAAACTATAATACAAAAACTGGCTGCTACATGTATAATGAGTTACTTTTCTTACTATAATGGAATGTTGAGGTATAAAAACAAATTATATGTTGGGACAACAGAAGATTAAAGGAGGAAAATGTTGGGTTATGACTATCTTTTGGTGATTACATATGAAACAAACAGTACAACAAGTAGTAAGACTGTGCCCTATATGTCAGATATGCGAACATGAAAACTCAAAGTATCCTGGATTGCTGCAACCCTTGCCAGTACTACAACAAGAATGACAACATATTACTATGGACTTTATTGAGAAACTCCCAAAATCTAATGGATATATGATGCCATCCAGGTAGTGGTGGATAGATATACTAAATATGCTCATTTTGTAAATTTAGTCCACCCCTTTACTGCTTACTAAATAGCATCACTCTTTATTAATAATATCCGCAAATTTCATGGTTTAGCAGAATCTATAACTTCTGACATAGACAAGGTTTTCACTAGCTTATTTTGGACTGAATTGTTCAAAACTATGGGTGTAAAACATCATTTGAGTACATCTTATCACCCACAAACTGACGGGCAGACAGAGAGAGTAAACAAATGTTTGAAAAACTATCTCAAGTGTATGAGTGCACAGAATCCTAAGAACTAGAGTAACTGGCTTCCTCTAGCACAATGGTGGTAAAACAATTGCCATCATAATTCCATTGGGATGAGTCCTTTCGAGGCTCTCTTTGGGTATAAACCTCCAACCCTAAAACTTGGTCCTTATGGTGAGTTAACTGCAGTAGGAGTGGAACATGAGCTGGAGCAATGACAACTTTATTTCAGAGAAACTGAAATACCACCTCAATTTGTTTAAGCAAAGAATGAAGGAAAGGACATATAAAGGAAGAATGGAGAGAGAATTTGCAATAGGGGATTGGGTTTATTTAAAGCTCTAATCCTATAGAAAATGAGTATGAGGAAATCCACTTTATGAAAGTTGAGCCCCAAGTATTGTGGACCCTTTACAGTGATAGAAAGAGTGGGAGTTGTAGCGTATAAGTTGGCATTACTAGAAGTAAGTAAGAATGTAAGATGCATCCAGTGTTTTATGTTTCATTGCTAAAGCAATGGGTAAGATTGACTGACATTGTTTCCCGTACATTTCCTGCAATGTCTGAAGAGGGTAATATGATGTTAGTACCAGCTGGAATCCTGGCTGGAATCAGTTGTGCAATGGTTGATCAAGTGGGAACATTTACAGCAAGATGAAGCTACTTGGGAAGACTGTGATGTGATAATCAATCAATTTCCGGGAACAGAAGCTTGCAGACAAGATTTAGAAAAAGAAGAGGACAATGTTACAATTAAGCCTTCGTTCTTTTATTTTTTTGGTATAAATATTGTTAAAAGCTAATTGTATGTTCATTATAGCT